TAACGCTCAGGCTCAATCCGCTATTCGAAATGAGCTAGAGATTATAGGACTCAACGAAAACCCAAACGAAAGTCTTGAGCACGTAATACTTGTTACCGCCAGCAAAATTGGGGTGAATTTGGTAACAGAGGATATCGACTGCGTTATCCGAGCAGGATTAAGACAGCAGAAGGTTCTAGCATCGGAAAATAAGCTCCCACGCCCAGTGATTATACGTTTCCTGCGCAAAAACAAACGAGAAGAATTCCTTAAAGCATCTAGGACCAGGCGTGACCTCACCACTACTGACATCGAAGTGCAGGGCCACACCAGGAAGCTATATTTCAATGAACATCTAACGAAATATAACCGGTGGTTATTTCGAGAGACACGAATACGAGCTAAAGAGGCCGGTTATAAGTATTGTTGGGTTAAGCAGGGTTACATCCACATTCGTAGGCGGGAAGGAAGTCCTGCCATCACCATACGGAACGTCTCTGATCTGGAGCGTCATCTCAGTCCTGAGGAATTGGCTGCCACAGCTCCAGTCGGTAGCAGTAATCAACAAATGCTGCATTAGCCTTTTTCATGTTATTTTTTATTTCTTATTTTTTTATTTCTACTGTATGTTTTTAATTCACAATAACAGCTCACTTATAATAATGTATACATCTCAATCTTATAAATTGTATAATATTTACTTAGGATGGTATTTATCATGTAATTGTAGATTAATTAGCGTACCTTTTAACATACATAAATACAACAATTTAACACATACTCTCATACACTATAGCATTCATGAACTACTGCATCAATACAAACATCTAACTATCTTCAATATTACACTTTTAATACTTTGTTACAAAAAAACTGAACAGAACAAACAAATGCAAAAATCGTTTCACGATAAACAGGTTATTCTTCCTCGGGCTAACCTTACCGTTAACAGATATTACTGTTTACTTACATCTTTTATCATGAGTGACTTTATACATGGAAATAATAATATTTATATATCCCCTTTTTACAATTTATGGCCCAGGCGGCCACCATAGACGTAGAAGAGGATATTAGTAAAACATTTACCATAAAATGTCACTCAATTCCTGATCTGGAACTCTGTGCAAACACATTACAGTCTTATTCTAACTTCACGTTACTAGGCTGTAACATAAGAAGCATACATCGCAATTTTAATGACTTCTTAGTGGTTCTCTCGAGACTTGATGTAGAATTTGACGCTATTATTCTATCTGAGTGTTTTTTGAATAAAGGAGCAATCATACCACAAATTCCAGGCTACAAATCGTTTCACACTAATAAATTTATAAATAAAAATGGCGGTGTCGTTACGTACATAAAAGACGTATGGAATGTTTCTGTATCGGAACCTACATTAGATGACGCAAATTGTCTGCAAATAACAATAGAAAATACACATACACTTCTTGGGATTTATCGATCTCCTTCGTTCAATAATCCGGACCGTTTTATACAATCACTTGATTCTACAATTCATTCTAACACAAAAGTTCCTATTCCTATTATTGTAGCTGGTGACATTAATATAAACCTGTTATCTGACGAATTAGACTCTCACCGATCTGACTATCTGTGTTTAATGGCTAGCCATGGTTTGATTCCAGCTATAACCAAACCCACGAGAAACAACTCTTGTCTGGATCACATTTTCACTAATTCTACAGAACCAGCAATCGGTATAGTCTGTGATTCTGCATTAACTGATCACAAATTAACAATGATAAGCTTAGGGTTGCCTAATAGAAAAGCGACTAAGATTAGCAGGATAAGATCTATTACTGATTTTGATGGGGTTCTTGCGTATTTGAAAAACAAAGATTGGTCGTTAATTACCAGTGCAAGTGACGTTAATGATGCGGTGAATAACATGAATGACCTGATTGAAACGGCGATACGCTTACACACTCGTCAGGTTAGGATTAGTCGCTCAAAATTCAATCTCAGGCCTTGGATAACTCCTGGCCTAATGAGATGCATGCGTCACCGTGACAAGTTACATAGTCGAGTAAAAAAGAACCCAAATGACCTCGTTCTAGAACTAACGTACAAACGCTACCGTAATTTCTGCAATGATCTATTACATAGAGTCAAAGCGAACTATGAAAATGCAGAATTCCAAAAACATCATAAGAACCCTAAAAAACTCTGGCAATGTATAAAAAACATTTGTGAGATACGCAAAATTAATACTGTTGCCAGCGAACTCACAAAGATTAAAGGTGACCCGCGAGACTCATTGAACCTATGTAATCAATACTTCTCCACAATAGGTAAAAAATTAGCTGATAAAATCCTCAATAGTTTACAAATTACAGAGGAAACTTTGGCCTCTGAATTTAATATTCAAACTTGTCATCAGGGTTCAATCTATCTCTTCCCAACCGATACAACCGAAGTCTCTACAGTAATCGAATCACTTAAGAACGATAGTGCCCCCGGTTTTGATAGTTGTACCCCTTTATTAATAAAAACTATTAAAAACGTTATACTGGAGCCGTTGACGCACATAATTAATTTAAGTTTAGCAAGTGGAACTTTTCCTGAAAAATGGAAATTAGCTATTGTCAGTCCAATTTACAAAACTGGTCCCAAAGACAACCCGGATAGCTTTAGACCAATATCTCTGTTGTGTATTTTCTCAAAAATATTAGAAAAAGTGGTTAACAAACGTCTTGTTAACTACATTGAAAAACACAATATTCTTTCTCAAAGACAGTTTGGATTTAGGCGAGGTAAATCTACGGAAGATGCTGTAGTTTTGTTAACAGAGCTGATCACGGATTATTTAGATAAAGGTGAAGGATGTATCGGCGTCTTCTTGGATCTCGCCAAAGCTTTTGATACCGTCTCTGTACCTATCCTATTGAAGAAATTGGAGACCATGGGGATTAGGGGTACGGCCTGGAACTGGTTCCATAGCTACTTAGCGAACAGGAAACAATGTGTTCAAGTACTAAATTGCAGAAGTGACGATCTTTCTGTTCAGTACGGTGTCCCACAGGGAAGTATTTTGGGACCGAGCCTGTTTGCCATCTACATGAATGACATCCTAAATTTAAATATTAATAATGCGGAACTAATCTGTTTCGCAGACGACACAGTAGTGCTCTTTCATGATCGCAAGTGGACAGACGTGTACAAATGGGCTGAACATGGTCTTGCGCGTTTAGTTCAATGGCTGGACATGAACCTCCTCACTTTGAATACCGCTAAGTCAAAATACATAGCGTTTCACAAGACTCGGGCTTCTAGACCTCCTTCATTGGTAAATTTAAAAGTTCATAGATGCAGAACACCAAGTTCTCTTTGTGGTGGCCTATCTCATACGTGCGATTGCCAATCGATAGATGCAGTGGAAACAATAAAATATTTAGGGGTGGTTGTCGACCACAATCTATCGTTCAGTCCACATATCACAAATCTGGCTGCTCGAGTTCGAAAACTTATCTATGTATTCAAACTAATACGCAACAGTGCTAACATAAATATTCTCAAAATGTTATACCATGCAATGTGCCAGTCCATTGTACAATACTGTATTACGGCATGGGGAGGTGCTGCAAAAACTCACATGATAAGAATAGAGAGATCTCAACGAGCTTTGCTCAAAACCATGCTTAAAAAACCAGTGCGATTTCCTACCAGAGAGGTATTCAACTTATCTCGTGTGCTATCTGTTCGCCAGTTGTATATATTAAAAGTAGTAAAGAGATGTCACAAAAACGTTTTAAAACTGCCTAACTACCAACAGCTTTTAAATAAAAGGGTATACAAAATCCCCGTCCCTAACATTAAAACGTTTTTTGCTTGTCACCTGCCACGTTTCCTTCATCCACGCATTTATAATAAAATATCACGATATCATAACATCAGAAACCTCAAGACCTCACAGGTCTGTCAACTTGTTAGAAAATGGCTAATGACGTTAACATATGAGGAAACTGAGGATATAGTCAAACGTTACTAGCAGAATACACACACACACGCGCACACACACGCACACACACACATGCGCGCGCACGCACGCACACATACACACATACACACACACACACACACACACACACACACACACACACACACACACACACACTTTCAAGTGAAATTACAATGCACTATGATAATTTCAGTATAAAAAAATATGTCTTCTATTTTGTTAGACTGTGTACGATTCTCTAGTTAACTTGCGCTCTCGGACCCCAAGATACAGGATTATCCTAGTTTGGGGTCCAACGGAAAATATTTGTATATCTCACCTTGAACATTGTTTAGATGTTTAGCTTACTGTTCTTGCTTACATTTGTTAAATCTATATGTCAATAAATTTATTATTATTATTATTATTATTATTATTAACAATTATAGTAGGAATGACGTTTTGCCATATTAAAATTTATTAAATAATGGGTAATATATATAATATATAGTTCTTAAATTACATTTAAACTTTTGAAATATTTTATCCTATAATTAATATATACTAAACACTAAACAAAAACTATTTCAACAATATTTACAAAAAGTTATATACGTAAACAGCGTTAAAAAAAAACTTTAACATTCAATCGCCTCCAACGCGCTAGCCCTGACTGCGTTATTTCGCCCGGCGCGTCGCGATTTTAGGTAATTATTTCACGTAGGTAGCAAGAGTGATAGAAGCCTGATTACGATGAACCCAAGTTTTATCCTCAATTAAATTCGGTTTATAATTTCGTCCCTGTTCTCCACTAAAGACGTCCGAAAACTGCGCGATCACTCGCAGCTGTTTTTGAAGTGGTGTGAGCATTTTTGGCACCTTATTTTGCAGTGACCTTAGACATGCCGAGATGGTCACGGAGAATGTTCAAAATGGTCTTAGATGTTACCACAGTCTTTTCTGCGATCTGTTTTTCTTCAGACGAACATCTTCAAAAATAAGTTTTATCACTTTGCCAATGTCTGAAAAAGTTGCCTCAATCGGTCTCTTCTCCTATCAGAAAATGGAGGGCAACGTGCAGTGCGACGTGTGCAAAGCGTACTTCCTGACGCGCGACAACGTGGCGGTGCACCGCGCGCTGCACCTGGCCGCGTACCGCTGCCGCGCGTGCGGCGTGTGCACCACGCTCAAGCGCACCGTGCTGCGGCACGCGTGCGCTCTGCACCTCACCCATGCCTGTCCCACCTGTGGGCAGCAGTTCACGTGAGTATTGTGCACTTGCACGTGAGCACCACGCTCAAGCGTACCGTGCTGCGGCACGCGTGCGCACTGCACCTCCCCCGCGTCTGTCCCACCGGTGGGCAGCACTTCACGTGAGTATTGTGCACTTGCACGTGAACACCACGCTTAAGCGTACCCTGCTGTGGCACGCGTGCGCACTGCACCTCCCCCACGCCTGTCTCACCTGTGGGCAGCACTTCACGTGAGTATTGTGCACGTACACGTGCGCCCCACGCTCAAGCGTACCGTGCTGCGGGACGCGTGCGCACTACACCTCGCCCACGCCTGTCCCACCTGTGCGCACTACACCTTGCCCACGCCTGTCCCACCTGTGAGCAGCAGTTCACGCGAGTATTGTGCACTTGCACGGGAGCACCACGCTCAAGCGTACCGTGCTGCGGCACGCGTGCGCTCTACACCTCGCCCATGCCTGTCTCACCTGTGGGCAGCAGTTCACGTGAGTATTGTGCACGTGCAAGTGCGCACCACGCTCATGTGTACTGTGCTGCGGTACGCGTGCGCGTTACACCTCGCCCACGCCTTTCCCACCTGTGGGCACCAGTTCACATGAGTATTTTGCACGTGCCCGTGTGCACCATACTGTAATTTTGACAACATTTAAAGAAGTATTTTTGATATATTTTTATGGTGATTATCGTCTATAGAAGTGTTCGTTTTTGAACTGAAGTACTTGGGAATTGACTAACGATTACTGTATTTGAAATTGTATGTGTATGAATGAAAATAAACAATTATAATATGGAATTAAACACATGCAATATTATACCTTAATTCGTTTGATTACAGCACGAAATCTAAATTAGTATACCACCGAAGCGTGTGCCATCAGGAGCGACCACAGTGCGATTGCTGCGGGAAGGTGTTCGCCAACAAAATGACCCTCAAATATCATTTAAAGTGAGTAATCCTTTTTCATTTGTAACATTTGGCTTAGCCACGTAAAATAATTTTTTTGGCCACATTTCTTTAAAAGAGTTGGAACTATGGACTAGTGATTGAATGGCGCTATGAAATCAAATGTTATACCAACATTATTCGAGCAAAAACTTAGAACTGATTAAAACTAGTTTTACGGATTTTATCGCGTTTAATTTTAATTTTAATTATTTTTAATTCCCGATTTCGATTGCTTTCCAGCACCCATGGTCACGGGGAACTGAGGTGACTGACGTCCCGATGTTATTCATTGTTAAACTCGTAGTACCTTCAGCTTTTTTGAATTATTGTTTATGATCCGATCTATGCAAAATTAACTGATTATGTCCTGAGGTCTTGCAGTGATATGCTTGGGTTTAGTTTTAATTTTACTGTTTATAGGGTCACAAGCAGGTGGTAGTACCCAGCCTCCTTCTCTATTGAAATTAGGATGTTTTTTAATTTCAGTAAGGATGATACGTGAGGCTATTGAAATAAATTAAAAAACATCCTAATTTCGTAATCTACCAATCTAATCGTATCACAGGTTGCGTCGTGGTTGATTGTCCACGTGTCTCAAATAATGTATACATTGATCCGGCTCGAAGGACCATTACAGAATCTGAGGACATTTTTCACTGCCGTTAATATTGTGTTTTCTACCCTGGTGGAAACCTTCGAGAGGACCAAGGAGCTTGCTTGAGCATGTAATGGAAAACGTCATCTCAAAAATCCACGATTTGGGACTAGAAATAGCTCGTTAAAAGATCAAGGCTCTAGACTTTCACAAATTACCACGGGACAGGGAACCACGAGACATTTGCGTTTCTGTGGGTGGACCTGAAGTCAGAGTATGGTAGTACATGAAGTACCTAGACCTTCACCTGGACAGTATGGGACTTCGAAGAGCAATCCGTCCAAGCTACCGCCACATTTGGTGATCAGATGTTTTTGTTTTTAAAGAATAAGAGTGTGCAACGAGCACATCAACCTGATAGTAAGTGGATGCTATGGCCCATAGACATCTATCATCGAATAGGATTCAAAATGCAGATGCAATGTCATCCTCACGACTAAGATTGATTGCCTCTTTACCAGTAAAAGGGTCTCCGGTTCTCTAAACTCACCATATTAAACACAAAATTATTCTGCTTTCTTACAATGATATTCTTTTAGAGCGTGGTCCTGCCAAGCCGACCTATTCGTTCTACAACCACAATATAGATATTCACTCGGCCTAATGTATCTATGCTCCATGTCTGTGCAGTTAATCAACTCCACGATTACGACGTTGACAATTGTAGAATGTCTAATTGGCTAACCTCATAGGTTTTGTAAGATCAGTTTTCATACATAGAGTCATAGGGTATATTTTATAAATATAATATCTAAACGACGCTCCCAAAAACTATAAAACGCCTACTTGAAACGCTTATTTTTATGGAATAAGGGTGACACAACAATCGATCACACAGTCTACCTGATGGTATGTGGATTCTGTGGCCTATAACATCTACATCTATCACCCCTAAGGATTAAGATGGAATGCTTTGTTTCCAGAAAAAAGTCTACGGTTCTCTACAGTTGCCATTAAAAATATCATTGTGCTGCTATTTGAAGCTGGTATTCTGTGAGAGCGAGAGGTTTCCGCACTACAACCATAATATATTAGCAGCATGGCTCTACCGCTTATAAAACATGCATTCTGCCGAACACGTTCTATTATTATTTAATAATAAAACACACCACTCCGTTTATTTGTTTTTAATAATGATTAATCGTTTCAGAATACTCCCTCAGAGTAAACCCAAAGAGAAACTCCATTTACCTTGCAAAGGCTGCGACAAAGTGTTTCACTCTAAGAAGAGTTATAGAGCCCATGTGTAAGTTATTTATGTTAATGAATAATAATTATTATAGAAATAATTATTAAAATGAATAGTTTTATACAAGCAAGTAATACGCGGTCCGCTTGATTGGAAGTAGATACTTTGCTCCAAAATCAAATTTTGACGTAAGGGACATAATTACATAACACCAATGTATGCAACACTACCCATCTTAACGTAACTTAGAGCAGCCTCTCAGTAGGGATGTCGATTCTTTCCGACAAAGATCGATTTTTAAATCGATTCAAATTGAAATCTGATGAATCGATTAACAAAAAATCGAGGTCTAAAAGAGCGATTTCTCAAAAATCGACCTTTTTCCGATTTGCTTATAGATTTTTACAAAGTATTACAAACGTTACTTATTTTTTATTTCTTTATTCCATTAAGAAGAGGCGAAATAAACTGAGTACACAGCAGTTTTGCTTGTTTTAGAATAGAAAAACTGTCGTTCTTTACAAGTTTGGGTAAATTCAACTAATTGTAAATAATTTTATAGTTCTTATGAAAACAGAAGAAGATTCGATATCGATTTTCCAGGGTGAAATATCGGTTCACTGTATCAAATTCAGTACTATATATCGATTAAAAAAACGATCTTTTTGGCACAATTAAATCGATCTTCGATTAATCGATCTCAGATTGACATGACTACTTCTCAGCAACACGATCTTCCTTGCCTGCACTAGAATAATTATTCAACTGCCAAAACTACGATACTGTAATTCTACGAGTCTTAGTACTCGTAGAATGACGATAGTCGGAATCTCTCGCGCACGGCGCCTACAGTGAACTTTATACTGAACAAACGTATGGGGTTTCCCGATATACCCTCAATTCTACCGCGCCACCATCGATATGACCATCCGCTGGAGTGTCGCAACCCCTCACTTACTCTCAATCCAACCGATATTTTCTAGACTCGACGGCGTATACATTTTACAGATGAATAAACTACGGGAATACAAATGTAAGAACGGAATAGGAGACGATGAAAAAAATTTATTTTACATTCACACAGTATGAGCGTGCAAAGGTTAAAAAGGAGATGGAGAATGAGGCATAGATGGTAATAGACACATTAAACATTGATTTATATACTTTAAGGTAAAACATAAGACTATAGAATCATAATATGCGACGAGTGTCACGGAGCGAACTGAACTTCGTTTTGTTACGTTTATTTCAATTTTAATGTAAAAATATAAGTGAATTCAGTGAAAACGAAGGTTATTTTATTCCCATACACTGGCGCTACGAAAAGATGTTGCATACCTTTGCATTTTCTATCGTAACTCCCATAGGGAATGCTCTGAGGAATTGTTCGGATTAATTCAAGACTCACAATACCATCAACACCATCTGGATGCTTGGCGGTCGACCACTGTGTGTTGTATTAGGAGTTTGCATCATCGTACAATCTCTCTGTGGAATTGTTTGACAAAGCACCTGCAATTCCCCTGGTGTTGCGATTGTTCATGGGCGACGGTAGTCACTTACCATCAGGTGAGCCGCATGCTCGTTTGCCCCCTCTTCTATAAAAAAAATTAATTATTGTATTGTCACCAGTCTTTAATACGAGTGCAAATTTTCAAGTCTACAAGTTGATGAAAATTACGTGAAAGGATTCCGTTGCAAAATTAGGTAGATACGACACGAAAGGCTATTTAATCCGTGTGAATACAAAAATTTGTGAGAACGAAGTTTATTTCGGGACCCATTCCCATACAAATATAAGTTATAAATATGTCGGTGCCTGCGCCGTTGCACGTGTAGCAGCGCCTCCGGGGCTAGTCGGAATTATTGTAAACAACACGTGCACCGCACACCTGCGCATTGCACCTGCAGTGGCGCTCGGGTAGCTACTTGTCTCGACTGTATAAAACAGACGGAGCGGCCGCCGTTAAGGCAGTCTTGGCGCTGGCGTGACACGGTTCACTTGTTGTATTCCGCTACTAGCTCATCCTAGACTATTTGGATAATTAATTCGTGGAAACGAATTAATTATTATCATCAGCTATTAAATTAGTCTCGGTACAATTTATAGTTGATTACCTGTGGATCCGTGCATTTTGTGATTGTAAATTAATTCTATTTAACTACCTTCCTACAAATACATATGTTTACACTTGATTTTCTAAAAGAATATTAAGATATTTATCTCTTTTAGGGTGATTCACAACGGGTTGAAGTATCCGTGCCCGATTTGCGGGAAACTATTCATGTGGAAACGCAACCTCGCCCGACACACTCGCAACCATCGTGAAAAGGACGAGGGAGCTCTCTACGAATGTAGGGACTGCGGTAAGAGTTTCGCGAGTCGCGACTGCTACAAGAACCACATGCGGCTCAGCAAGCGACATGTGCCCGAGGACGCGTATATGTGAGTATTTGACTAATATCCGATGATATCCGATAAATATCCGATGATATCCGATAAATATCCGATGGTATCCTACAAATATCCGATGGTATCCTACAAGTATCCGATGGTATCCGACATATATTCGATGGTATCCGACAAATATCCGACGATAACCGTTGATATCCTACAAATATCCGATGGTATTCGACAAATATCCGATGGTATCCGACAAACGTCTGATGGCATTCGACAAATGTCTAATGACAACTGATGATATCCAACGATAACCGTTGATATCCGATGGTATCAAACAAATATCCGATGATATCCGTTAAATATCCGATGGTATTCGCAAATATCCGATGTATTTCCGACGCATCTATTAAATATCCGATAGAAATCTAAAACATTCGACAATTTCCGTCTAAATATATACTCTCCTTTATGACCAGTACACCAACGAGGCAGTTACACAGCTAAAATCAAAAATTGTTTACAAAGGGTTTGAAAAGAAACCAGCGGGCTTCGGTCCTCTTAATCCGGCCCCGAAGGTCCAATTGAAAAGGAACCAGCGAGGGGATTAAGAAACAGAAGGGAGGAATCGAGGCTTCTCTCGATCCGGCCTCCTATAACGCCTACGTTGGGTTCGGGAACAACGTATGTGATCTCCGCTGGAGGAGTAACACACAAGGACGATAACCTCTTCCTTTTCAGCAAATAGGTTCAGACGGGGATTACGGGTCTTCCGAAATCGTCCCGGTCCCAACGCCTTAATTCTTCGATGTGGACTGTATAATTTTGAGGGATGAATTTCTTGGGAATAAAACAGCAATTATCTTCAAACCGTTCCGTGAGAGAGTAATTACTTTTCCCTATCACTTCCCTACACTTTTTCTTTCTTCTTCTTATTGACTGCTGGTCTTGCACTTTTCCCGAAGTTTCTCCGAACTTCTCCCGAACGATTCCCCCGAACGATTCCCGAACGATTCCCCGAACTTTTTTCCCGAACGAATTGCAATAAAACTCATTTACTGAGCTACCCCAGAGCTATACGCGAAAGTGAGCCGCGCCATTCGCGCGCTTGCGCAACTCAATTACATGAATTTGTTCTATTACTCTCTCACGTTTTACTTAATTACTTTATTTGCATAAGTCATACATCAACATAATTTACCTGAATAGATAGCACATAACAATATCTACACTACGATATACATTACATTTTCATATCACAAAAAACCTTTTATTTATTTAACAAAATATGCCTATTTTACTCACAAGTTCAAAGTCGAAATTTCTTAAATATTTAACATGGAAAGTTAAAACAATGTTTTCCACTTAAAATTATACATAAGTTAACCAATACAACAGTTTAATTTACATTTTCTCTATTCATTTCACTATTAAAACACTTTTAAATTTCTTATACAAAACTATCATTATTTCACTTATACACAGGAATTTTCACATAAAAATAACACAGAATTCACCTCTTTTGCACGTACAATCAATCTGAAATGTTTCACAAGTCATTTTTACATAAATTGCTGAAATTACAAATATTTAAATTTTTACATATTTGGCCTCCTAAGGGCGTGGCTTAGCGTGCGTCTATGAACTCACACTATTTGAACAACTAACTTTGCACGGCTCTCGACTATCAGCAAAAATGAAAAGTCCAATATATACCAATATCGACAGTATTAGGTGAATAAATGCTTCTACACAATTTTCAAACTGTAGGAAACTATTTCTAATCAGATTCTAATCAGTTATCATGTTTCTTATCAGATAACAATATCGAGTGAATGTTCTCATAAATCAATCATAGCAAATAGGCATTTATTTTCATACAAAACATATCAAACTCATATAAGGCAATACTTATGCAATTAATTTCCGTTAATTCTATTTATGCACAGAGTGATCATCTCGACCGGGGAACAAATCCGATCTCTAACTTCACTTTAATATTCCTTTGAATTTATTAAGAGATATTACTTAAGAAAACAATAAACTAGTCCGGCCTGGGAGTCGAACCCAAGACCTTCATATCATTAATTCGACATTCTTTAAAATTTAACTAAGCATTTTCTTATTAGAACATTGCTATTGGACAATTTGCCTTTTAGAAGCTATTCGTCATCGGTTGACTTAATAAACTGAAATATTCTTATAGGCGCGTCGCCAACAGGGTTATTATACCACGAAAGAGTACATGACTGAAAATAACCCCTGGAAATGAGGTGATCGCATACCATGCTATTTCTAAATGTTTGAGAATATGATGCGTTGTCACCCCTGAGGACTAAGATGGAATGCTTCGTTTCCAGTAAAAAGGGTCAAAGGTCTCCGGTTCTCAACATTAACCATACAAAACACTTCTTCCCCGGTCGAGCCAACCTATCGGTGCTACAACCATAAAATAACTGCAGCATGGCTTTAACACGTAAAATTTTCTTAATACTCAATTATTCGTTAATATGTACTTTGCGATTCAAATAAGAATAATATTTAGTGTAGAAGTAAGGAGTGCAGACTGTGTATTAAAAAGTGTCCATAGAAAACCGTTAAATAAGGGTGGCGCCACTATAGCTACGGGCTAAATTTTAAAGAACGTGCCGAAAAATATTAGTGGGATAGACGACTTTTTCGAGGTTATATTTACTAAATAAAATTATTTTAGATTTTACAGCTACTGAGCAGTTTAGCAGCACACTTCAAACCGTCGACAACTGTTAAGTTCATTTCATCCCAGTAGCTACTCCAGCGCTGTTGTGGAGAGTTTTTGAACTGTTATTTATTACTTACAGATGGCCACTTTTTTCAACTATTCTACTATGGGAGTTGGTGCTTCTTACTTCTACACTCCATATAGAATAGGACTGACTTGACGCCATTTTGTGACGTCATAGCTGTCTATTCAAACCAGTTAGGATAGGGTGAGCAAAACAGCATAAGTCACGTGGTAGAGCCACCTGGCTATATAGAAGTATGGTTGTAGCACGAATGGGTCGGCTCGACCGGGGAAGGACCACGCTCTCACGGAATACCAGCGTAAAATAGCAGCTTAATACTGCTGCGTTTCATATGGTGAGTGTAGAGAACCGGAGACCCTATTAACTGGAAACGAGGCATTCCATCTTAGTCCTCACGGGTGACAACGCATCTGCGTTTTGATTCTTATTCGAGGATAGATGTAGGTGTCTATGGGCCACAGCAACCACTTACCAGCAGGTGGACTGTGTGCTCGTTAGTCACCCTTATTCAAAATCATTAAAAAAATAATCTAGGTCTCATAACATGGCGTGTCTTTTTGAGTACAGAATATAAATTATATATGTACTAAAATCATAAATTTTACTGGGTACTTTAATTTGTCTTCCCATGGAGCCAAATATTTTATGTGTAAGTATAGGTGTAGTGTGTGTACTACATACCATTTATATTGATATAGTGTGTCTGTGTTAACTGTGTTCTTTAGCACTACTCTTTAACCCACTAGCTAATTAGTATTAGTCTACAAGTTGTAGTTACGCGTAATTCAAGGTTCACACACCGACTCGTCAGTGAAGTCACAAGGTTCCAACTGAAAACCAGCGCTGCCTCTGCAGCATCATGCTGAGTTGGAGACCTATTTGATGTCACATTTTATCTTTAAATTCTTTTTTTAATTTTTTTTTCATTATTAATTAACGTCATGCATGTTCTGCTTATTAATAATTTTTAATACGTAAGCATTCTTACAACTGCGCATGCATATTTTTTTGCCCCTTTTTAATTTATATTTAAGTTTCTTAAATTGTGTGTAAAGTGCGATTATCAAATAAATGGTTCTTTCTTTCTTTTTTTCTTTATTCTATAAAAAAAAGTTCTCATCTATAACATCACTGCTGCTTCTTTCCCTTATAAAAATATAGAACATGGGTTTATGTAGGTTTCAAAAATATTTCACCGACTAGTTTCAATGTTTTAAATTCATTTACAAAAATAATAATGAGTTTAATAGATTTAGTAATACTTCAGTTAAATAGATTTAAAAAATGATATGAATACGCAAATTAATTTTCTTTGCAAGCCGTATTTTTCTAGTGACAGTTGACAGGTCACTGTCATTCGAGAACATTGACATTTCTGTTCTAATTTGAATCGCATTGTATATTGTTTTATTTCAGCCACACGTGCAGTTATTGCGGGAAGAAGTTCGCCACGAAATGGTGTATGGTGGACCATATAGACTGGGACCACCTGAAGCTAATCAAGTACCAGTGCAATGTTTGTTTTAAGGTAAACTAAAGATACAGTAAAAGCATTTCTTAAAGTGTTGTAGGTTTTTTCAAGGTATTATTGTTTATAAGAGATGTGTTCCGAAATAGAACCCAGTATACCAGCGAATGCAAATGACGTCAATAATTGACACCATATTGTACTGGCGTACCGCCGCCATATTGTCGGATATCGTGCCATATTAAAACAATTTTTAGACGGCCAAGCTCTAAATCATCGTCATTATAGTTCGTGCCAAATCGATTGAGAAAAACGGAAGACGACCTCAGATATGAGCCGAGTGTCAAAAGGCATAACTAACAAAATTTCAATTTAGATATGATAACAATATTTAAATATTGATATTATTCACACTTCTAGGTAAGCACATATGTTTTGTTTTTTGTTTCTTAAATAATATTGTCTGTGGTTCCTATAAACATCGTAAAATCTTACGGTACATCGCGAAAAATGTGTTATATTTTATATTTCAATTTATGATAAGTAACGCAGCAATTCATTTAATAAGTTTCATATTAAAAAAAAATATTTGGAGCAATATAATCACCATACTGAGCTTTTGCAAATTCATCCCTTTAAAATAAACAAAACGCGTGTTACGTCAGTTTGTTCTAAAAGAAACGTGACAATGGCAGCCAGAGAAAATACCCGCATGCACCGAATAAAAATAAAGTTCTTATATAATATTGAAAATAAAGTTTTATCTTTTGAATACGTACGTACTTCTTTGGTGTCGTTATCACATGAATCTTTATATGTGTTATAAATTAATGCTTTTTGTTTTTAATTGAATAAAATACTTATAAGAATAGATGATTTTTCTTCTACACTTCGATCAATAATACCAACTAGATAACGGGGCGCGTACAAAATTATAGCTAAATACTGTCTGCATGAATATTAACTATGAAAAGACATAAATTAAATAACATTTAGTGTGAAATCAACCTTAAATTATAACAAATAAAGTTCTTTTTCCCGTTATTGCCTTGTGAGCTACACTCTCACGTGCAAGAGCTCACGTCTCATGTGCGCTCTTATTTACTGAGATGGATTTCTTGCGCCGACCCGACATCTAGTTAGTATTGTTGATCGAAGCTTCTACAGCGATCTTTTACATAACTTTTTAATAATAGTTAATAAATATATATTATATCAATCATTTAAAAAAAAATTAAAAAACTTTATAAATAAAGAAAGTACTACATATAAGAAGTGCCTGTATATTGTATACCACCTATACCATCTGAGCGGTTAACGCTCGCTGTAAGTATAACAAAACGCGAGTAACCCGGGTTCGATCCCCGCCGGCACCAATGAAATTGTTAATTGCAATTTTAAGTGCTGATTTACCACGTGCTCGGCGGTGAAGGAAAACATCGTAAGGAAACCTGCATGTCTGAGGAATAAGAAAAAAAATTTTTCGAAGACATGTGAAGTTCGCCAACACGCATTGGGGCAGCGCGGCGGACACTTCCTTGCCCTAAAACCCTCTCAGAAATGAGGGGAGGCCTGTGCCCAGCAGTGGGACGTATATAGGCTGTAACTTTCTTTTTACTTTTAAAAGGTGTCCCAACAACGGATTAATTTATCTATTTTTAACAAACCATGTCAATAGTAATAAAGTTCGATGGTTTAAACTTGTTTATTTTTTAAGTATTATTCATATTTATACAAAAAATTATTATTATTTTGATTATTTAAACAATAATAAGGAACAGCCATACACCCATAGAATACTATAATACACAATAGAATGGCTGTCAACTTTATTTTGTACGAGAATTGGCGTCGCCAAACCCGATTCGCTGTGTTGAGTAAATTTACGCATTGATTAATGTTCAAGATCATCATTAAATTTTAATATATATTTATTTGTAAACAGGGTGCAATTTGGCATTTTCTAAATAATTTGCATGCAAAATTCGGAAACGATTGTAACGTCAAAACACATCTCGTGTTGACATTTATACGTGTGAATTGACGTGTTAGTGACATTTTAGTGGCTACGCGGGCTCCGCCCACTCCTCCGTTCTATTATATATGTATTATAGTATTCTATGAATACACCGGTTAAGTTCCCGCCAAAACTCTGACATAGAGAAATAAAATTTTCATGGCCGCAGATAATTATTACGTTTTCAAATTGCAGCCCTTTAAAACGGCAAAAATCTTGGTGGCGCATATAAACAATATCCACCAGGGAAAGAAGAATAAGGAACCTGAGGAGGAGCACCTCTGCGAAATATGCGGGAAGTCGTACAAGGTAAGATTTGGATTGGGGACTATCATAGCGCAGGAGACATACTAAGGTTTTTGTACTGTAGTTACTTTATACTGGATGACCTTTTTTACCGTCTGGAAAAAATGGGGTGTAACATGTGAACGGAGTAAAAGCCTATGGCACTGATATTTTACAAAAAATAAAAACTAAAATTTTGAACTAATTATCCCCTCAGTCCCCTTAAAATTCTCATGCAGTCGCATGCGCCCGGAAAATCCCGAGCGGTCATGTGACGGCACCCACCCGCAGCACTTAAAATCATTAAAACTTATATTTGGAAACTACTTTTCTGTGAAAAAGTTTGGTATTATAAAATCTATACAAAATTCTCTATATAAAAGTCAGGTTTTACTTCATTACAAAAAGACTATTTTGATAACAAAAACAAAACATACCAAGCGGATGTCGGCAGCGTGAAAATCGCAATTATTTCAATATATATTACTCGAAATTATTTACGTAAAAAGATGAATTATATTAACACAAAAACTTTCATTACAATTTTATAATGAAACACTATACTAAAACACTAATAAAACACTAGAAAAATCAAAAAATCAACACAATAACATTCACGCGAAAATGGCGTACGTAATGAACATAGATTATAAATAAATATCAGCAGGCTGACTTTTTATTGCACTAGAGGATAGAAAATTTCATATTATATATAGTTATCAGGAAGACTTAACTGTCCATCGATTTGTTGCCCTCTGTCGTCTCATTATGGGTTTGGTACCCACGGGATGATATGGAGGTAGTGGATATATTTACGCCGACACTATAGGATAAGCAGACACTTATTCATAAACAATACTTGAGGAGGACGACATTATGAATCAACACAAATATCAAAATACTATCGGGTTTAATTTATGTTTGTGTTATTAATTGCAGCAGTAATTTGAATGAAAGTAAAATACGAATTAAGTGTTTGACGAAAGAATGTTTAAAGAAGACAGTTCATTTCAGGTCGAATGTATGTACACTATAATGTAAAAAGGCAAAAAATTCAGGGATTATATTAAAAATAAAATAAGACAATAAATCAAACTAAATACACTTGCTAAAAATAAAAATGCAATCCCAAGTTTTTGATGGTTTCACAAGATGGCGCCCTTCCAGTCATAAAAAAAGACGCGGTTATTTGTCAAATATCATTTATGACAAGTGACTTGAGTCATGAAAAAATGTAGGCAGCGTGATATTTTTATTCATTCCGAGCTTCCTCGTGTAGTTGTATACTCGTGAATGCGTTTATTGTGTTTCTGGTGGATTTCTTTGGTGATTTAGTTTCAGTTTAGTGATAAGATTAACATGCAATTTCAGAATTCAAATAGCCATCAATAAATGGATCAATAACTTCATGACAGTTGACAGGTAACGTTAAAACGATATCTAACCGCCATTAGTGTTACGTTTTTTGGTGAAAATGAAATATTAATACCACTGAAATAAAGAAAAATTCGTAAATTTGAATGATCAAAAGTAGTTCTTTATTTTATTTCAATTTATCTCCTTACTAGTACGAAACTAGGCCTACGCTTCATACAATTTTGGACCGTCTTCTTTCTCACATCGGAGACATTTTTGTCCAAGACCGACAAAAAGAGATAGCTATTAACTATTAGCTATGTTAATTTTGAAAATTTCCACGCTACAATGAACATAGAATACATTTGTTGTCATCTTTCTGTTTTGAAAAAATTAATCCGGCCATAAACAATAAACTTTGTAATAAATCTAGATGATGGAGGATTTCAAAGGCTAGGCTAGGATATAATATATAGACCGCTGTTGGTCCGATCCGTGTCGTTATTAGAAAACCAATTTTGTTGCATTTTATTACTAGGTCTAAAACACATTGCATCTCCACAGTCGGCGAAAAGATTAAAGGGCCACGTGTGGGCGATGCACACCAATCGGTCCGCGTCCAAGAGCTACAAGTGCAAGCTGTGCCCTGCCACATTCACGTGGCAGACCTCGATCTACAAGCATATGAAGATGATGCACGACAACAACAAGCGGACTAAGGTGAGACGACATATGATGTGCCCCCTCCCCCATCCCCAAAAGTAATAAGGTCATGGCCGTCGACTTTCATTTTTTATTGATTAAGGGTGACAAACAACATGATGGTAAGTGGATACTGTGGCCCATAGACATCTACATCTTTCCTTAGTTAAGAATCAAAATAAATATGTGTTGTCACCCCTGAGGATTAAGATGGAATGCCTCGTTTCCTTTAAAAAGGATCTTACCTTTTTAAAAGGAAAGACCATTTTAAATACATAAATCAATTAAAGATGTTTAGTCATGTACTAACTAAAATATATTTTATATAGTAAAGTCACACTGCAGCTATACACGGTAATTTTTCAAAGAGTAGCCAAATTACATTGAAGTTCAATTAAATAAATTATTATACGAGTATAGAGATATTACATTTTTTGCCCACTACCAACAGTTTTCACTAGTTTTAGGAGCAGCGCGCTCCTAAAGCTAGTTGCCGCTAGATATTAATATTTAATAGCGCCATAGCGCCATGGCGGCTACTTACATAGCTCGCGCTATGCGCTATATTAAGTCTGTGTTCCTAAATAGAACCCAGTATACTGGCCAAGCAGGTGACGTCATAAATCGACGCCATATTGGTGATTCGCTTCAAAACATTAGCCAGTATATGACATGATACATTTGTGCCATATTGGAAAAGTGTTGGCAATTATTTTATGTCAATTTGTGGTCCAAAAGTTTTATATCCTGTTTCATATAATTTGTGAATAATGGAAATGTCAGAAATTATGTTAGTGAGCGGTGTTGCTATTGAAATTCGATCTGATTTTTCCGATATTGATCTAGTGACGATTATTTAGTGCTCCTAACACTAACCTCTCAAGCCCCTAGCGGCCTGATGAGATTAAGGAGTTAAGGGTTACAAATAAGGTAAAATCAGTTTAAATAATGGATTACCACGCATTTTGAATTTATAAGATAATAATTACAGAAAGTTGAGATTTTTCTTAATTAATTTTCTTTCAAGATTTACTTACCCGTATATTACTTATTCTGAACCTTCTCTGAAAAATTGGCTGGTAGTTGGAAAATAACCCCTGTATATAGCTGCGGTCTGTGTACGGCGTCTCGACCGGGGAGGAGCACGCTCTCACAGAATACCAGCGTAAAATAGTAGCTTTATGATTCTGTGTTTCGTATGGTGAGTGTAGAGAACCGGAGACCCTTTTTACTGGAAACGAGGCATTCCATCTTAGTCCTCACGGGTGACATCGCATCTTTGTTTTTTCTTAATACCATACATGTGCCATCTGGTAGACTGTGTGCTCGTTTATTTATTTATTTATTGCATTTACATGTAGTTTTTTGTGATGCACAGCATATGCACCCAGCAAGGGTATAAAATATATGACAATGCGAAATATATATATTTACATTGCAAGTAGTATTCTAGTATTTAGTATACGTTATATTAACTATATTTATTAAGTTACTTTAATATAACATAATATTCATCTAATGATGGTAACATTTCTTATTATATCTTTGGGTAATGGTTTATATAGTTTAACGGCCATGGAATATGGTCCTTGATGATTATAAAATTAAGTAATTTTATACTTTCGCGGTCCCCTCGTCTCTGTCACTTACACGTCAATTCACACGTATATAACTGTCAACACGAGATGTGTTTTGTATAGAAGTGCCAAGCGCCAAAATATGTATTAAAATCCGTCCGTCAACACTGCGCATCAGGTTTGTAGTAGTGATAATACGACGTAATTGCTTGTATGTGTGCTACCGGCGACGCCGAATCTCGCACAAAATAAGGTTGACAGCCAATCTAGTATTCTATGGATATCACGTTTTAAGCCAGGAGATGCTTGTTAGGTGACTCCGCTCTTCCAATTAACATTATACAGAGCATGCAATTGAGAACAAAATAAAAGAAATATACGATAAAAGAAAAGTATAAAATACAAAAAGGATAATATGAAGAGCACATGAGTGATGTGTGTGTGTGTGTGTGTGTGTGTGTGTGTGTGTGTGTGTGTGTGTGTCGTGTGCGTGTGCGTGTGCGTGTGTGTGTGCGTTTGTGTGTGTTTGTGTGTGTGTGTATGTGTGTGTGTGTTTCATATATATTAGAGGTGTGTATATTTGTCAAAGAAATCAGTATTTATTTCATAGCGCTCGCGACAATTCCATTATAGGTAAAAGGGACCCAACTAGATGTTAATGCCTGCCTGCAGGACAGCTTTGTTTCATTAAAATTGTTACATAATGTGTATATAAGTATTTTAAGATACCTAAAGCGATTAGAGAGTTACCAACAATGAGAATGAAAACTCACCTAAAAAAATGGCTCATCCAGCAATCTTTTTACTCAATTAAAGACTTCTTTGCACATAAGTAGGCGATACTTTGATTTTGACACAATGTTTAAAATATTGTATGAATTCATGTGTTTTACAGCAGCCCAGACCAATACCATCGGTAAAGAAGCAAGAGCCCTACCCGGAGATCGAACTGGCGAACAGAATGCAGTACTTCCAGCAGAATCTCGCGAACAACTTAGTTCAAAACATGGTGCAAGCTCAACCGGTCCCTATTAGTATTGTACAAAATATTGTTTAATTTACATCAGAACGTTGCCTTCCCTTATAGATATAGTCTCATAAGGGAAATTGCAATAGTTGCCACGAGTGCTAGACATTGCCACGTTGTTAGCAGGGAGATGACCATCTTGCTACCCATGGGGTGATACGGGTTGGGGAGTCCCTTACGTCTCCATTACACGGCGTGTTTAATTCCTGCAGCATATAAAACTTAGGTTTTTTGGAAAACAGCCGGCCGAAATTACTTACTTTGAAAGCTAGATTTTAGGGGGTTGAAAATCGAAGATTCAACGCAGTTTTCATAAAATTACTAAACAAACTTAATATTTGTTTGTTCGTATTTGATGTACCACCATATCGTTCATCAGATTGCGCTAAAACTTTGCCAACTTATTACTTACACTTCCTCGAAGGTTATGGGTATAGTTGGACCCGGTAGGTGGCGCTGTTGTAGAATCCAGATATCACCCGTGCGAAGCCGGAGCATATCACTAGTTCTAAAAACGTCCAGATTGTAATTTAAAAAAAAAACGTTAAACCCTCACTAGGATTTTCTCCTGTATAGTGGAGACAGTTTTCATAAATGGATATCAAACGAATAAACATTCAGATCAGACAGGACCGTGTAATTGCATGGGCTACAAATAATTTTTTGAGCTCTGTATTCGGTTCTTGTAAAATTTAAGTATGTAAACTGCCCCACGATGCAGGAGATATTCCAAATGTGGCGGCAACTTTTTTTTTTAAATATACATGTAACAAAAACCCTGTGGTTCCCGTTAAGTGTGTTATCAGAATCAGTATACAAGCGTATAGAAATAATTTTTTCAAAAAAACAAAAATTTTTTTTCATTGAAATTAATTTTAATGAAAAAAAAAATTAATTTGCAAATTGAATGTGGTTTTGCAAATTTGCACTCTCCCGTAGCTTACCGCTGCTGTGTTCCGTATGGTGAGTGTAGAGAACCGCAGACCAATTTTACTGGAAACGAGGCATTCCATCTTAGTTCTCACGGGTGACCACGCATCTGCGTTTTGATTCTTAATTGAGGATAGATGTAGATGTCTACGGGCCATAGCAACCACCTACCATCAGCTGAACGGTGTGCTCATTTGTCACTTCTATCCTATAAAAAAAATTTAAAAAAAATCTCTTCATACGTTATTAGGCCGTATGTAGGTCAGGTTTAAGAGTCGCTGAGTGAGACGTGAGATATAGCATTTAGCATGTTGCTATATATAGCAGTTGACGACGTTATTAATGGGATACTTATTTTTCTTTTTAATTATTGAGGGTGTAGACAAAGGAAACAAAAGATATGGGTGTTTTAAGGGAAATATAACTTAAAATTTTCTTTTTTTATTTTATCTATTTATTCATATATTTCGCTAGTATTGTATAAAAATAGAGAACGAAGTGGAATAACTTGCCGGCATCCGTCTTTCTATCCGATTACAATGTCACCCGCGTTGTCAAGGCAAGAGGGATAGGCTTTTGTTGTCAGTGCGCTTCACCATCTAGGCTACATCACCACTTACCATCAGATGATGGGATAGTAGTTAACCGCTGGTTTAGAATAGTAAAATAAACCTCAGGATATTATGTGATAGCTACCATTCTGTTTTTCATATGATTTGTATAGTTCATAACAATTTTAAAAATGTCCAAATTAATATTAAATTATAATTAGTACATTTACAATACAGGGTTATTTTTCAAAAAGTAGCCAAATTTTAAACTTAAGTTCAAATATCTAAATAATTATTTACCGTTATTAGCAGTTTTTAAAAATACTATTAAATATGGCTTCTAGTTTTATTTGAAATTATCCCAAATTGAATGTGATTTATGGGTAACAACGTTTTTGCCTACCGATCGACTCTTACGAATGTAAATAAATGTAAGTAAATGCAGTACCACGCATTTTGAATTTAAACGACAGAATGTTTGAAATTTTTTATATTAATTTTCCTTCACCATTTGCCTATATTACTTATTTCGAAACTTTACAAATTTGGCCGGTTATTGCGAAATAACCCTGTATAATAATATTGTTCAAAATACATAGTTAAAATGCATAAATGTTCATTATGCCTGACGCCAAATACTCAAGTGATTATGTACCAGCCGCATCATCTCAATGCGTGTTGACTTCAATCTTCATCAATCCCGTAAACAAACTGTAATTTTTTTGAAATAAGGATGACAAATATCACAGGCCACCTAATGGTAAGCCCTGGTGCATGGAGTATAGAGGTAAGGAGGACAATCTCCCATTGCGGAAAAGTTGAAAAAGTGTCCATCTGTAAGCAGTAAATAACAGTTCAAAAACTCTCCACAACAGCGCTCGAGTAGCTACTGGGATGAAATGAACTAGCAGTTGTCGTCGTTGTAAATCGCCGTAAAATACGTTGAGAGTGATTTTGAAAATAAAAAATTTTAAAGCAATAAAAAAATTATTGTAAAAAGAATTATGGTGATAGTCTGTGCAGTAAAAAAATTGTAAAAACATCTTTAAAATTTAGACTGTAGCTACAGTGGCGCCACTCTTATTTAACGCTTTCCTACGGACACTTTATATACAGAGTCTATACTCCTCACCTCTATACTACATATCCTGATGTCCATAGACACCCGTTTGTCCCATGTCACCCGTGAGGACTAAGATGGAATGCCTCGTTTCCAGTAAAAAGGGTCTCCGATCCTCTACACTCACCATACGAAACACAGCAGCGTTGAGCAAAATTATCTACATTTATCCTTAATTAAGAATGAAAATGCAGATGTATGTCACCTTTGATGACCAAAGTGGAATGCCATGTTTCCAGTAAAAAGAGTCTCCGGTTCTCCACACTCACCATACGAAACACAGCAACATTAAGCTGCTATTTTACGCTGGTATTCTGTGAGTGTTTCGTCTTGAGTCGAACAAATCGTGTTACAATCATAGTACAGCTGCAGTCTGTCTCTACCACATTAAAAGCATGAATGCTCTCGTAAACTGAAGTCAATTGGAACTACCTTTCCTTGCTAATCTGTTGGACCACATTTCTCTGGTTCTACTAGGGCTATCTTCATTACTAATTCTATTGTACAAAGAAACTCGGACAGCTCATATCCTCTCCACTGCTCGAGTGACTTAGCTTCCATCAGTCAGCAGTGAAGTCTCAAATTATATTTCTAAGAGTGGTAAAATTAAAAAATTTGTACAACCGACTTCAGTATAAACAAAATGAGAACATCATCAATGTATTCGAAATCAATTAAGTACACATTGTTTAGGATAACTAAAAAACTATTGGTCAGTTCTTGATCAAATTTATTTGGGAACAAATGTGAAGCATCAGCTTTCAAAACAAAAAAAGAAACATCAAAATCGGTTCACCTAGAAAAAGTTCTGTGACACATAAAAAAATTCTGTCAAATTGAGAACCTACCTCGTTTTGTAGTCGGTTAAAAATGTTCGGCCATAATGGGTGCGTTTGGCAGAAAAAAGCGCTTGTAAGCAAAATAGCGATCGTAAGCGGTAAGCGCTGTCAAATCGTAAGTAGTTATTTTCCTCTAGGACACGAAGTTAGTTTTAACGGGGGAACCTAACCTAATTTAAATATATGTTTGTAAAGTATTCACATTAAAAACTTACTAATCGTGAATTTTTAATAACATGTATATGTTTATTCATGTCATTATATTACTTAAAACTAATATTGCACAAAATAACTTATAAACTCTACTTCAAAACAAACAAAATAAATAAGCAAAATGGCGGATTGTGTCAGCGCTACCGAAGTAGCAATCATGTCCTGGCCGAAAACTATTTCATCGCTTGTGAGCGCTTGCTCGCGCTTTTTCTGCCAAACGCACCCAGTTTAAACTTGTAAATTAATTTATTTAAGTATATTTTCGATTTATCTGCCAAAGGTATAACACCTTGCACAATTGCCATATTCAAAGTATTAATAGTTTTAAATAAGAGTACAATGAATTTTATACAATTTAATAAAATAATGAAGTAATAAATATGTATGTTTGTTTTATTTTTATTACCAGAATAGAAAAACTAAAAATAGGTAATAAAATAAATGATGTTTATTTTTTATTCATTATCCTTAGTAGTGTAGGCATTATTGCCTTGTTGTGGTAGCTTAAGAGTTATCCTGTGGGTGTCGTAGAATGTGACAGAGGTTAAGTAAAACAGAAGCAGCGTCTTTCTGATTACAACTGGAATGTTACAGCCCCAGTATCAAACATATCACACCTTTAATGCTGCAGCCTATCACCAGCCCAGTTATTTTACATCAATAGTAAGCAAGATGGCTACTGATGTTACCTACTGTGGTGATGGAGTCTGAGAAAAAATATACTAAAAAAAGAAATAATTATACTAACTTTGGCTTTAGTATGTAATTTACAAAAATTTAATGTAAGTTCACAAAAACAAAAGTAGTTTTAGTAAACACTGATATACACTAAACACTAAGATCACACAAGCTAGTGATACCAATTTCTAACTCCATAGAGTCAGTAATTCATTCTTGTGGCAATATATATGCTATTACTACAAACTCCCATTAAATATACAAGGTCTCTCTATTACATAATTTGCAAAAATAATTGATATTCATTCTGTAAATACTAGGAACGGACACAAGCTACGAGGGTGGATTGAAAAGTACTCGGCCTAACACAGATCCATTCAATTCTAAAAATCAAATCTACCCACATTATTTAGTTCAGTTCAGACTAGTTCATTGTGTGAAGTTCGAAACGTGTGCGATAATTAGTTGTGATTTTATAAATTTATTAACAAAGTAATCGGACATAATTTCCGCGAATGGAGCAAATCGAGCAGCGTGCCGTCATTAAGTACCTCCATAAGAAAGGGCTATCATCAAAAGCCATCCATGATGACATGGTCAGTACATTAGGCGATTGTGCTCTGTCATATTCATCCGTCAAAAAATGGATAGCAGAATTTAAGCGTGGTAGAGAGAGTGTGAAAGATGAACCCCGCTCTGGAAGGCCTTCGACGTCAACTACTGACGAAAATATTAAAAAAAGTACTTGATTTAATAATGGGAGACCGCAGATTAAAAATTAGAGAGATAGCCGAGATTATAGGCATCTCTTATGAACGAATTCAAAACATCATTGTCAACGAGTTGGGTTTCCACAAGGTGTCTGCGAGGTGGGTTCCGCGACTGCTTTCAGTTGAACAAAAAAGGACGCGATTGACTATTTCACGCGACTGTTTGGAGTTATTTGAAGCCGATGCAGATGATTTTTTGAATCGTTTTGTTACTATGGACGAAACATGGGTTCATTACTGTACACCGGAAACAAAACAACAATCAAAACAGTGGAGAAGACCTGGTTCACCACCCCCTAAAAAGGCTAAGTCGATTTTGTCGGCAAATAAGGTGATGGCTTCAGTATTCTGGGACTCGAAAGGTGTGATTATGATTGATTATCTTGAAAGGGGTTAGACTATAAACTCTGATTACTACTGCACCTTACTACGTCGTTTACGAGAGGAAATAAAAGAAAAACGTCGAGGAATGCTCAGAAGAAAAGTCCTGTTTCATCAAGATAACGCCCGTGTTCACACGTCAGTACAGTCAATGGCTGAAATTCACTACTGTGGCTTTGAACTGTTACCGCATCCGCCGTATTCACCTGATCTGGCACCATCAGACTTCTTTCTGTTCCCTAACCTAAAAAAGCACTTGGGAGGTCAAAGATTTTCGACAAACGACGAGGTCAAAGCAGCTGTAGACGCATATTTTGACTCTAAGGAAGAATCATTTTTTTTCAACGGTCTAAATGCTTGGAAGGGGAGGTGGCAAAAGTGTATTGAACTTGATGGTGATTATGTAGAAAAATAAAAATATAACTGATTTAGTATGTGTTTATTTTCTTGGTTAGGCCGAGTACTTTTCAATCCACCCTCGTAGTAGTACCAGTTACTCGACTCCACCGAGGCAGTAATTTCATTCTTGGGGCGATGTATACGCTTTTACAACAAAATCCCAGAAAATATACAAAATTTGACATACACAAAGTTCAAAAACTTTATTAAAGTTTGTATAAAAATGGTTATTATAATATTAAGGAATTTATGGATGATAATAACCCCTGGGAACTGTGATCGCTACCAAGCTATTTCTAATTTGTTTTATGTTGTTAATTGTAACATACATGATTGTGAGCTCTTATTTAAAAATAATAGTCCCGCTGGGTTTCTTGCTGGTCCTTCCCAGGACAGGGTTTTTATGTTTCCGAACTGAGAAATCCCTGGGAATGAGGGATTATTATCAAACACCCTTAGAGCGTAGTTTTCGTGGATGATTCTAAAACAAATAAAGGTGTAGGATCTGGAATTGTCTCTGAAGACCTTAATATCCACATATGTACACCACTGGGTACCCATAACACAGTCTTTCAGCGGAATATATAAGTTTCATCCAAGCAGCCATAGCAATACATGCTAGGAAGGTAAAAGACTTCTCCATCACAATACTGACCGACAGTATGGCAGTACTACAAGCTCCGAGTTGAAATGTAGTGAACTCAGGACTAATATATGAATGCCATCAACGATTACATGACGTATCTAAGCACAACAAGGTGACTCTGCAGTGGATTAAGGGACACAATGGATCCAGAGGCAATGATACAGCAGACGAACTGGCCAGAAGAGGATCGGTTCTGGCCACTATAGGGCCGTAACCAACAATACCAATCACTTTTGGTTACATTCGTTTACTGGTATGTAGAAACTTCACAAACCTACATGCTCAGCTTTGGAAAAATCTAGCAGACTTTACATCTAACCAAGGTTTTAATGAGACTGAACAAGCCACAGATCAGGAAAGTAACAAGTGCTATCACAGGTCATTGTTCCTTCAACAAACATTTACTTACCATAGGTGTTACAGATAGCCCCCTGCAGAGCATATATGGTGGAGGAAGAAACGGCGGCTCACATGTTGCTGACATGTCTGGAGGTTGCTGCATACAGGGCTAAACACCTCGGCACCCTGGGATCGCGTCCTGAAGTTGCTTGCCGCATTAAAGGACTGTTGAATTTCTTCGGGGAGATTTCATGGCTCGAATAATCACATTACTAATGCCCACACCCAAAATACACGCTTAGATGTGGTGTAGTATAATAATAATCAATAATCTATATTGAATAAAAATTATTCCATTCTATTCCCTCTACTTTCACCTGGCACTAAATGCTGTGTTAGTAATGTAATAATTAGACAGTGCACAATAAAGTTAGCAATAAAATGCAAGTTCACCTGATGTTTGGCTTCTGTAGCCCATCAACACTTTTTTAAATAATTGGAGTGACAAGCGAGCAAACGCGGATGCGTGCGAACCGGACACCTACATTTATCCTCAATTAAAAACCAAAAGGCAGCTGTGATGTCTCCTTTGAGGACTAAGAAAAAATGCTTCACATCCAGTAATAAGGGTTCCAGGTTTTCTAAGCTCAGCATATGAAACACAACAGCATTAAGTTGTAAAATTTACATTGATATTCTGTGAGAGTGTGGTTATTGCCCGGTCGAGCGGACCCATTCATGCTACAACTAAAATATAGATGCAGTGTGGCTCCATCATATATAGTAACCTACATTTAAACAGAGAAGATAGTAGATATCAAATCAACTTTGAGTATTCAGAAGCTACTTTTAATAATAATTATTAGAGATGAAACGAATAGCTAATTGGCCGGATACCAGATATTCGGCCAATCTTATCGCCGGATAGCCGGATATTCTGGCAAACAATGCTGTATGGAACTTCACAAGAAGCGAAAAGTAAAGTCAGTGCGATATGTTTGCTATCATGATCCTTAAATTTGGTGGGCAGCTAATGCTACATAATACTCTAAATGTATCAAAGTTTGCCAAAATCTATCTTTCAGCACCCAGCGGCAGTTTGTACAGCGAAAGACTTTTCTAAAGCTGGCCTTGTTTATGAAGACACTTGTTACCTATCAATGCAGAGAAATTAGTATTTATTCACCATAATGTAGTATGAGCACTAATTTTCTAAGTATTAAAATGAAAATTTTGTGATTACTAATTATATATGTTAAGACATACATAAAGTACTTAACTAAATTTGATATTTTGTATTTTTTTAAATCCGGTATCCAGCCGGATAGTAATTTATGCCGGATAGCTACCAGATATCTGTCTCATCTCTAATAATCATAATCTCCTTCACAAATTTACAGTGGCAAGTCCAATATAAATATTAAATTTAAATAATGAAACAACATTTGAAAAACCTTAATTTATTATAATATATAATAAAGACTTAAATGTAGTTATTTTTTATTTTTGTTCTGTGGATTTCTACCGGCGTTACCGCCACCTCTGGAAAGTGGCGCCGGCCTTCCGCGATTACCAAAAGCACCACGGCCGCCTCCGCGACCTGACCTCATGTTTTGTCCGCCACCACGGCCTTTCGAGACCTCACTCCGACCTCTTGCTTTTACCTGAGTTTCTTCTTTTACCATATCTATAACCTCATCTGGTATTCTTAAATATTTAATAGTACTACCGCGTATATAACATTCCGGCATTCTCCAGAACTTATCACCGTCTCGCGACGTGCAAATTACTTCACGGAGATTTATATTCATCCAATTATCACAACTCACGAGGTGACCGTTATATGTTTCACCATTCTTTAACTCGACTAACATTGGATGGTTCTGGGCCGTTCGTAATAAGGATAACGGTAACATTTTACCTAAATTTTCTGAAGCTACACTTATAAAACAGAAATACGTTAAAAACTTCTGTAACCCTTTTAAAGTCTAACATTTATTTATTTACCCCGCTGGACGCTGGTTCTTGGTTAATGACATTGACAGTTTTTATAGCAATGACAATTGACAAGTTATGTTATAGAGATATTCAATATGCATCGATGCATGGATTTCATTCGATGTTTACAATACGATGCAATGAATCGATCTGATTGATATTTTGGAAAGTTATTAATACACTCAATGTACCCATGTATTTTCATAAAACATCAAATCAATGATAAATGATAACCAGCTATTACCATTAACATTATAAATTCTAAATCAGAAATTTATCTGTCAATCCCTTTCAAGGGATCAAGACATTGACATTGACTGGTTGGCAGCACTGTGTTAAACTGATGTAAAGGGAAGTAAAAAAATTGTATGTTCTGTTTCGGTGAACTTTGAATAAAAATGATAAATTACATTTGATTTTGGGGAAAATCTCATCGTTTCTGTATATGTTCGATTGGTCTGGTAAGTAAAGTAATTAAGTAGGTGTTTAGGTTAGTTTATTTATTCTCATATGAACAAAAGTACAATTTCATAATTTAATGAATGAAAAATAAACAGAAGATAGTTTACTATTTGTAGAATACTTTACACCACAAATTATCTATATTTTATTGCATAAATTTCATCGAATCATTCGTGAATCGAACCATAAAGCTAATTATACAAATTCAACTATAAGTTAGCAATTTGTATATTTTTGTTAAACAAATACAATAAAAATGGTTAAAGACGGAAAAAGTAGTTGATTTTAAAAAACATCGATGTTTCTAACCGATGCAGCGAAATGTATCGATGCAGTCTCGATGTATTATATCGACAAAAACATCGATGTATTTTCAAAGTGCACACCCCTAACAGATTACCAAAATATTTTTTTTTATTTCGGTCCTTTCTTTGACAAAGAATATTAGTGAATGTCGAAGAGTATAGCATAAATAAATAACTACCACTGAGTGGTTACACTGCTGGATAATCGATTTATAACCTTCTGAGCGCCACGCCAAAAACTCACTACCGTGTCCTGTACGCCAAAGCGAAAAGTAAACAAAAATACCTACGAAAAAAACAGTGCTGCCAAGAGTTGATATATCGATAACACAAAATAACTTGTTTTTGTTGGTTTTTTTATACAATAAATGAGTCTTTATAATCGGGTATGTTTTATTTAATCTTGTGCTGTCTTCCACTCTTTTTATATATGTACTTTGTACATAAATAAAAAACAAACAATAACAATAAAATAGTAGTAAACCACAACACTACTCTCCGTCGTGATGACGTCACTGTCACGACTGGACGACAACGGCGTAGCTGACCTTTCTTTTTGAAACTTTCTTAGAGATGTAGCCGTGTCGCACGTTGTGTATCGATTTCAAAATCGATGTAACCAAAATATACAGACATCTATTCAAAATATTTTATGGCAAGGCGTAGGCCAAGTGAATCACAGAAGAAAAGTCTTACGCTCTTATGATAAAGGGGGTTTCATATGATACTGATGTTGCTAAATGATTTTGAGATTGAGAAAGAAAATCGCACAACACAAAATGAAAATTGCTCTTCATACCTTAAGAAAGAAACATTTATTATTTGTAATTTTATATTATTAAATAGAAAAGGTACGTAATTATTCAC